TTGCGTGGGTGGGGGGCGGGGGGTGTGTGTCCGGGGTAGAGGTGGGGGGGGAGGGCGTGGGCGGGTGGTGAGTTGGGCTGGTGTGGTAGTGGGGGCGGTGGTGGGGATATGGTGAGGCGGGGTGGGTGCGGGGGGAAGGGGGGGGGGGGTGTTGGTTGTTGGAGTTAGTGAGGGCGGGAGGTGTGACCCTGGGATTGGGGGTGTAGTATTTTATTGGTGGGAGTTTGGTGGGGTAATTGGGGTCCTTGGGGTTGTAATGTTACGTGTTGGCTTTTTGTTATTTTTGAGCGGGGAGGGGAGTGGGGGACGAATTGCGGGCGTTGGGGCGCGCGGGGGTGGGGGAGTGGGGGTGTGGGGGGACGGGGGAATCTGGGTGTATTTGGAGTAACTTGGAGGGAGGGGGGGGGGGCAGGGGGTGGTCGTTAAGAGCGTTGAGGGGACTCTGCCGGGGGGGATTTGAACTGTTGGTTGTTGAGGGAGGGAGGCGGGGGGGTCGAGTTTCGGATGTTGTTAGGGGCGAGCTCGGGGAGGGGGAAATTTGGTGGGGGTAGTAGAAATAGTGAGTTGTAAAGTATACTGGGGGGTTTCGGTATTTTTTTCCGTTCATCTAACATGTTGATGAGAGAATTCTGACAGTAGGGTTATATGCGTATCTTTATGATATGGTGGCTGATCGGTAATTGGGAAAGTATGGGGTAAGGGGGGCGAGGGGGGGGGGGGGAGGGGCGGGACGAGAGGGGGGGGCGCAGGAGGGGGGATGGGGAATTATTCCCGATTGAAAGGGGGGGGGGGCGGAAAAGTATTGTGGAGGGGGGGGGGGGGAAAGGCTTGATTTGGATGGGCGGAGGGGGGCTAGGGGGCTCAGCGATGCGGGACAGTGCGCCGGGCGGGGGCGGGGCAGGTAGGGAGGGCATGGTGGGGGGGGGTTGGCATACGTTTAGGTTGCGAAAGCTGTGTGATCGAAGGAAAGATTGTTTCTGTGACCCCCGAGGGTAGAATGGATGGGGAGGAGGGGGGGCGGGGGGTGATGGCGTTGGAGGGGTGGGGCGGTGGGGGGGGGGGAGGGGATGGGCAATTTGGGGAAATGGGGTAGGTGCTGAGGGAGGGGATGGGGAAAAGGCGGAGGAAATTTAGGGAGTTGCATGTCCTTTTGTACAGTGTCAATATAACATACTTGTATTCCTCTAGTTTATTTGTTTTAGTAGAAAAGAGGGGGATTAATCAGGCGAAGGGGGAGGGGGGGGGGGGTGCCGCGGGAGAGCGGGCGGGGAACGGGTGGGATGAGCCGCGCGGGGGGGTGTAGGGACGGCGGGGGCAGGCAGTATACTTTGCCGGTGGAAGGGGGTGGGGGGGGGAGGGAGGGGGTCGGGAGATGGGGTGTATGGAGGTAGCGGGGGGGGGGGGGGAGGTGAACGGAGGGGGCCGAGGGTGGCGGGGGGGGGAGTGGTGACGGAGGGATGGGGGGGGTTGGGTAGGTAGGTGCTCTCTGGGGAGTTAGATGATTGATAGATAGGGGGAGATGTAGGTAGGGCTTATAGGGATTAGGGGGGGGGGGTGTCTTGTTAGGGTTGCGTTCATTTGGCGTTCGTTCCACAACGACGGCAGTTTAATCCGGAATCTTATACTGTAATGAGTTTAATGGATTTCGAAGTAGATTGCGGGCTGAAGTGGAACAGTCGCACCTTGTAATGGAGAGGTGGATGGGGGGGGGGTTACGTGGGGGGGAGGGGGGGGAACGGACAACTATGTTTGGAAAATACTTGTTATCAAATATTTTTGAAGGTGGGGATGTTATTTCGTCATCGGAAACATTTATTATACCTTGAAGTGATATTTCATTCATTAGAACCATTATAGAATCATCGATTCGGGGGAGGGGGAGGGGGCGGGGGGGGGGGAGGGAGGGAAGGCGGGGGGGGTGGGGGGGATGTGCCTGCGGGATAGGGTGGGGGGGGGGGGGGGGGGGGGGGTGGTGGGAGAGGAGAGAGTGGAGGGAGGGGGAGGGGGGATGTGTTGGGCATAGTAGGCAGGGGCGGGGGGTGAATATTCCAATTACTTGCAGTTTGTATCCATTTTCAATCCATATATTTTTCTTCTCTGGGGAGGAGGGGATGGTTGGAACGAGATTGGGGCTTGGTAATTTTGGGGAATCGATGTGTTAGGGAGAGGTGCTGGAGATGATACTATCGTATGGTTGCTCGTAGGATGTTGGGGTGTGGGGGAGGGGGGGGGTGTGCAGCGATGGGTTGCGCTGCAGTTTCGCGGCTAGTTGGGTGACTGGGAATTTGGGTTATTTGTAGGAATGTGGGTGGGGGGGTGGGGTGAGGGGGAGAGGTCCTGACTACGGGTGAGTTTACACGAGTGTGTGAAGGTTAGGGGGGAGGCGCGATGGGGTGATGTACTGGGGAATTGGGGGCGGATTGTTTGGTGGGGAGGTTTAGCGTAATAGAGGCGCTGGGGGGCCTGGCTCGTGGGGGTATGTGTGAGGTTTAGGAGGGCAGAGGGAGGGGGGGGGGGGTGGGGGCGGGGGAAGAGGGGGCGAGGGGGGTATGGGGGCGGGGATGGGTCGGTAAAAGGAGTGGAGGCACTCTTAGATGCGGGACGTACGTTTGGCCTGTTTTTGGGATGGGTGCCCGGGGGGGCGGGGAGATAGGGGGGTTGGGGCGGCTTGGGAATGGGAGGGGGGGGTGTGGTGGGGCCTGGGTGGGAGGGGGGCGGGGAGGGGTTGAGTTGCAACTTGGTGGTCAATATGTGGACCACGGATTACGTCGAGGGGTGGGGATGGGGGAGCGGGGGGGGGGGTGGGGTGCTGGCACTGCGTTTGGGGGGTGTGGGGGGGTTGGTTGGAAGGGAATGATATTTCAAGATCCCTTTATGGTGGCTGGGCCCCGGGTGGACCCCGGTAAAGAGGGGCAGGGTGATTGTTAGGTTGGCGTGGGGAGGTTGGGTTGAAGGGGGTGAGGCGGGGGGCCTGGGGGTGGGTCGGTGGGGCGTGGGTGTTGCAAACGGAAAAACTAGGGGGGGGGGGGGGGGGGGGGGGGGGGGGGGGGGGGGGGGGGGGGGAGGGGGGGGGGGGTGGGGGGGTGGGGGGGTGGGGGGGGGGGGGGGGGGGGGGGGGGGGGGGGGGGTGGGGGGCGGGGGGGGGGGGGGGGGGGGGGGGGGGGGGGGGGGGGGGGGGGGGGGGGGGGGGGGGGGGGGGGGGGGGGGGTGGGGGGGGGGGGCGGGGGGGGGGGGGGGGGGGGGGTGGGGGGGGGGGGGGGGGTGGGGGGGGGGGGGGGGGGGGGGGGGGGGGGGGGGGGGGGGGGGGGGGGGGGGGGGGGGGGGGGGGGGGGGGGGGGTGGGGGGGGGGGGTGGGGGTGGGGGGTGGGGGGGGGGGGGGGGTGGGGGGGGGGGGGGGGGGGGGGGGGGGGGGGGGGGGGGGGGGGGGGGGGGGGGGGGGGGGGGGGGGGGGGGGGGGGGGGGGGGGGGGGGGGGGGGGGGGGGGGGGGGGGGGGGGGGGGGGGGGGGGGGGGGGGGGGGGGGGGGGGGGGGGGGGGGGGGGGGGGGGGGGGGGGGGGGGGGGGGGGGGGGGGGGGGGGGGGGGGGGGGGGGGGGGGGGGGGGGGGGGGGGGGGGGAGGGGGGGGGGGGGGGGGGGGGGGGGGGGGGGGGGGGGGGGGGGGGGGGGGGGGGGGGGGGGGGGGGGGGGGGGGGGGGGGGGGGGGGGGGGGGGGGGGGGGGGGGGGGGGGGGGGGGGGGGGGGGGGGGGGGGGGGGGGGGGGGTGTGGGGGGGGGGGGGGGGGGGGGGGGGGGGGGGGGGGGGGGGGGGGGGGGGGGGGGGGGGGGGGGGGGGGGGGGGGGGGGGGGGGGGGGGGGGGGGGGGGGGGGGGGGGGGGGGGGGGGGGGGGGGGGGGGGGGGGGGGGGGGGGGGGGGGGGGGGGGGGGGGGGGGGGGGGGGGGGGGGGGGGGGGGGGGGGGGGGGGGGGGGGGGGGGGGGGGGGGGGGGGGGGGGTAAAAATCGTCCAAATTGTATCCTCTAGGGGGGACCGGAGAGGTCGGGGGACTGTGGGGAGGGGCGGGGTGGGCGAAGTATTTATACATTGTGAACTTAGCGATCGCAAAATTTCCGTCTTACCAGCGAGTACCGTTCGATTGGTCAGCGTTCCAAGCTGTTACCATAGGAGTGCTCCAACCTTGTCAGTGATAATCTTATCAGACCTTCCCTGAATTATAACACTCCCAACAACCAGTGACGACAAATTTTATGATATCAGCATGTTTCACGTTTGTTTCTAATCTGGATCAACAGATGTACGGCAGGTTGAAATCTATGTCAACGAATTTCTCAAAAAACTAACTTCGTTGTGTAAACAAAGATATCAACTAACTGACTGTCAGCAATGTAGCTGACCCCGTGAGAGCGGTATATACCAACTACATCCCTTATGCAGAAGGACAAGAGTAGCCAAGCGAAAGCAATATTGGGGCAAATAAGTGAAGTTGGAATTCAGGGGCAATGGGGATTTTCGTGTAGTAAATTATGAAACTAACTCATCTGCCTTACTTTTGATCACTTATAATATACTTCTATCCTTCGATGGAAAGCAGCTATGTTAGCATGCATCAAAACACCAGGATTGAGTGATTAAAATCTTATCGAGTCTATCCAAGTATATGCAGGAAGAGTAGAAAATCGTATTACTCAGAGAACGGATATTACGTTTCAGCCGTCTTAAAATGTCAGGGCGCTGTTCCTCACTTTACGCAGTATTTAATCATGCAGTCCACTTAGTTAGAGACTACTGCAGAATATGCCTTAAATTGAGGGCCATCAGTTCTCTCGAGAGTAGAGAGGGAGGAGGAATGTACAAGGGAACACAAAAGGAATGCTGTGGTAATTTGGAGCGATCCATTTTAGTTGATAGAGCGTTATCGCTAAATGTCTCGCTAAGGCATTGTAAGAATAGGAGGCAGAATAGATTCTGGAGAGGGGCATAAATAAGTGGTTTGTGTTTCAGCCAAACTATGTAGTGGCCTGCCATGAGAACAGCCTTGACACATCGCCTGAACAATGGAGAAGTGTGTCTTGCAATGCTGTGTAGGATCATTATTACCAAAGTCTGTCAGGGGAAGACGCCTTTCCAAGACAAAGTCCTCTGTTTGCTCTAAAATTCTCATGGTGTGGGCCATGATCATCGTTTCTATGTGTAGTCATAATGTCAGTGGGCCGTAATGCATCCTCACTGAGCCTATCGACACTTCCACCATGTTTTGGTGTTGTATCTTTTTCAATGGCAGTGTGGGATTAATACAAATACCTAATTGTCTGTCAGAATGGGGTGCATTGAGTGAATCTACATTACTTAGTATGCTCACGAAACGGATATCAAGCGGAGGCGTGAGCATCTGAAATTCCGCTACACTGTCGTCAACGTTAGCCTCGCTTGCGTGGAGAGGGTTCTTGCCAACAGTATCTGCTTTATAGAAGGGCGATATTCAAACGTCGTTGCATTTCTTCCTTCTTGGCACTCCATGCGATGCAAAAGTAGGGTGACTCTGTCTCGGCTCAGTCGAGATATTATTTTCACTCGTGCGTTGAAGCTCTCATTGCAAGCGTAAGCTAACTAAAAATATAATAACGGTGCCAAATTTAGGAACACATAGCAAATTTTATGAATTTAATAGTCGCACTTGCGGGACTTGCTATGAACGCTGAACAGGGTCGAACAATAAAAGAATACAGATGTGTGCATCAGTCTTCTACAAAGAATATCGGTCTAAGCAATGTTGCAAACTACCAATACAATATACATATTGTTGCTGATTATCATATTCTTAACTATGTTGAGCGCGATGGCACTTTCTCCATTTATTAGTCTTTGGTAACTTCAGAGGCGACTGCATTTAAGAAGTTTAATGCTACGCAATTTTGTTTTGGTTCTGTGTTAGCCGGAGCCCGAAATAAGTAAGTAAGTAACTTAAGGATTTTCCTCAATAAGGAAGTCAAATTTTGTTTCTTATTTTTTCTGCCAGCTGTTTCTTAAAAGCTTCGTTCCGGCTAACAATCACCGAGCTCTCATTTACTGGTCTTCCTGACCCATTTACCTGCGCTTACACCTTAGAAGACTTTGAATGTGTTCAACAGGACAAAGGCTCAACGGCCCACATGGTAACCGCTAATGTATTACTTAATGCAGTTACCCGATATTCAGCATTATTTTTCCTCATTGAACGAAGGACACTAGTGCAAATTCCTAACCGAACAAGGATAAACGTTTAACGGACCAGACACAACTGCTGATGATTAACAACTAAATGGTTTGCTTTTTCTTAATTCGATAGCGTTGCACAGAATCCTTTCTACTTACTCCTATATTCAGTCTCAGTCTCAGGGCCGGCTTCATCCGGTTATTGCAACAGCCTCAGCGAAAGAGAAGAAACGGGAATTAGGGTGACGTAATACAAGCGCGAATGCTGATGCGAGCTCTATCCGGTGAAGCATAGTCAGTAGGTGTTTACATATTGAGGAAACCGGCAACTAGCTGAATCTAGGAATTAATCGCCTGTTTACAGCAAATTAAATACTTATTCAGTGGACCTTTGTTTTTTTGACAATGCCAAGGAAAAAGTGACTAGGAGCGTGTAATATTTAACCGATTTTTGGCGTATAGATAAGGAGCAATAGCGTCGCAACAAAGATCAAGGAAATGGCCTAAATAATGAGTTACTTGGAAATATCAGTAGGAACATTGGAAGGTATATATTAAGTAATTAGGAACCAATATCACAGCAGATTTAATACAGGATGAAATAGGGTAAGAAAGTACAAGTGAATTAAAACGCTCACTCGTTGAACCCTCTGCTGGGGGCCTACTTTAAAATTATGTAAACCCTCATTTTGTTTCACCTGCACATGCACGCCCCATCTAGTCAAGTGTCGGTGTAGTTTGAAAGCACATTGGCGATTTCCGAGTTTGTTTATTTTATGGGCAATATTTTTGTGAACTATTTACACAAGCCAGTCAGCCCATAGGCCATTCATATTTGTCGTTTGGTGTGCATGAACATTGGGTTCACTGATCGTTGTCATGTGCATTCAGTGTGAATTCAGCAGTTCAGATTGGACTGCTTTTTATTTCTGCACATTTTTACATTTACCGGTTGGTAATTTGTTGTGGGTATAGATGTTGCTAAGAAGATTCACACCATCACTTTAGAAGATCGGCCTCTATTCGTGACCAACGGAACATAAATTAAAAATAAAAAATAAAATTAGGGGTAGAAATATCAATGGAATATTAGGCAAATAATATTTCTCGAAGCATTGTGTGAGGCCGTATGGTTAGGTGTGAAAAAATATTACAGAAGTTAAAAAAGATAGAATTAACAAAGAGTTGTCTATTCGTTCAAATCGCGCTAGGTGATGCGATTTTCCGGATGCCGTGGCCCAGTAGATTATGGAAAATATACGAAGGCGAGAAAAAGGTAACACTTGTTTCTGCAACTGCATGTGGGACTTCAATCGTGGCACATCCGAGCATAAATTTAAGGCAACTGAAGTGAAGTGAATATTTATACTTCATAGAATGTTTAGACGTGATGAAATAACACATCTGTAGGCACTTGAAGCCCGAACAATTTGTTCCTATTCTGCATATTGGAAAAACCCAAGCTCCTGCTAAATTTGGTTTGGTTCTCACTTGCCCGTACTTCCATTGATGGCTTGTTTCATATGCAGGGATACATTACAAGGAAAAATTTGGAGCACATATTCAAGCCCACCTTTTATGGGTAGTGAGTAACCCATATTCCTTGTGGGATATCCTGAGAAATTTGATAACTCAAGATTTGTTCCTTAGTATAAGAACGGTAATACATATAATTTTGTAAATCCACTTAGTCTATTTATCAGGCAGCGCAAAAACATGGGGTCTGGTTTAAGCCAGTGACGGCGATCTTCATAAATAAGAGTGGTGGACCAACTGACAAGGGGTTTCGTGAAATAACGCTGAAAGGTTTATAGAACATACGATCCATTCTACGCAGATGACTATTGGTGATTGCGCAGTACTCCAGCACAGGTCTCATGATGAGCTAAAATCTTACAGCCTGGCTTCAGGCATAGAATAAGGATTTAACGACATGGGCATTCAATGGCCGGACCTTTGTTATCTGTCATAAGACTTCCTCCAATACGTTCAGCGATGTGGAATATATTAATCCAAGTCCCTAACTAATAGGGACGTTGGCATATTTGTACCAGTTGGGTGATGGGGCCATCAGGTATGCATCATTCATACCCAAGCACTTGTTATATTTTAGCGGAGAATTTCTGAGACAAATTTTTACTCTAAGAGTCCAACGCAGATAAATCCTCATATATCTTCCTAAGGCGCAACTCGAGGCTAGGGGTGGAAATCAGCAGACATGTTTAATATCATCCGCATAAATGTAGGATCGTTCATGTTTTTAAATCACAGGTGAGAGTTATATACAATAGGATGAGTAGCGATCGAAGGACACTGACTTGGACCATTCCGCTTGTAACTGCCCTTGAGGAGGAGAGTTGCTGGCCAGTTTTCATTCTCTATGGGTTACTGACTCCGTAGGAGTGTAGGAAGAAAAAGAAAGGTGTATGTGGCTAACGACCGAAGGCCTTGTGCATGTCTAATCGAATGACAATAACTGATAGGCCACTGTCAACAACAAATGTTACGTGGTGGAAGGATTGTATTTGACAGGTTACATAGGATAGCTTCTTAAGAAAGCCGTGTTGCGCATTGTTTGTCAAGTCCAATCTTGTCAGGAATTCAACAAGGCCATTTTTCACAACTCGCTCCATTGCCTTTGAGATGCCGCAGTATGATTAATAGGACGAAAATCTGTCATTACAGATCGGAAGCCAACGTTGTGTTTTGTTGCCCTTGCAAAATGTTTCCATGTGCAGGGAAATACCTTCTGTTATAATATAATGTGAAAATTTTCGACATCCGTAAAGGAATGGCTTTATCCCCA